GAATTATTGTAATTTATTTGAAACTTTGTTCCCACGAAATACTTTATCCGTGAACAATTTTCTAAAAGTTTCAAAATAAAACCACCAACAGAAATAAGTAACATTAAATGTCTAGCAACTAAAGTTTCTATTCTAAGCGCTCATTATTATCATTTTTGTTTTAGACGATTAATGGTTTTAATTAGATTACATTTTTTTTACGTATATTTATGTGCAAGATGACCAAGTGTTTCGATAAACCAGACAGCTGGGTGGATAAATTACAAACTCTAATATAAAAAAAAACTGATTAATTAGTTGAATGAAGATCATTACTGATATATAATATTTTAAGTATTAAAAAATTTCTTACATTACGCCCTGGTGGTAGACTCATGAAACTAATGTTGTTACACATTGTTGCTTGGTATTCTCCAATCACGTTACTCAAAAAATCCACGAAAATTCATAAAAACCTGTTTTTATTGATGCACTACTTATAACGACCTAGGATTTTACTTTATTTTGATCAGTTTTGCAAGATGAAACCTTTTATATTCTATAACTTGATAAAATAACTATTATTTTTTGTATAACATGAAACCATTATATTTCATAATTTAGTAGATAAAATATTATTTTTATTCTATAGATAAGATAAAACCATTTATAGTCCTTAACTTAATAAAAAAACACCATTTTTTTCTATAAAATTGGATAATTTATACTCCATAGTTTAGTTAAACTTGGATCACTCGTAGTTGAAACACTTTCTATGGATTTTAAAAAGTATCTCATTCTATACTAACCACACGGTACAGTTAGTCCATTCAAACCTTTGATTCTATTTCTGCAAGTAGGTTATTTTCATACGTTTATCTAACTTTTCTTGGTTTATACTGGTGTGTTAACTTTTGAGAAAAATGCTAAACATTATATTTCCAGAAGTATTGTTTTTGTTTGTTTTTGAATTTCGCGCAAAGCTACACGAGAGCTATCTGCGCTAGCCGTCCCTAATTTAGCAGTGCAAGATTAGAGGGAAGGCAGCTAGTCATCACCACCCACCGCCAACTATTGGGCTACTTTTTTACCAACGAATAGTGGGATTGGCCGTCACATTATAACGCCCCCACGGCTGAAAGAGTGAGCATGTTTGGTGTGACGAGGATTCGAACCCGCGACCCTCAGATTGCGAGTCGAGCGCCCTAACCACCTGGCCATGCCGGGCTTTTCCACATTTTACAACCCAAATAAAATGCGGTATTTTTTTAGACATTCAAGTACGATCCAGTGTTCCAAAATATATTTTCTTGGTACACATTACGTGTTATCAACACTCTCTACGTATTCAGAGTTCCTTAGCACAGTGTTATATTGATTTCTTGCTGCTACGTTTGTAAAAGGATCGTTCAGTGGAGTGTATGATTGTGTAGCTAGAATGGCTGTGGATTTCTCGAGAAAAGCCCCACGTGTATCCCTACAGCCGCACGTTTCTGACATTTCTATACACTGTAGTCCGTCCTACAGGTTTGAACTCCTACCAGGTTAGAAGTCTAGTTAGGCACTCCCACCACGGGCTTTCAATGAGCGTAGCCTAGTAGCCAAACCAGAATATTTTCCCTCAGCTGGATATTATTCATAATTTCTTAAGATTTCGTCACAACTGCTTTTCTCCCACAGTTTACCTCTGGCCTCGGTGAAAAGGATGTTCTATGATCGAGAGAGGATTGTAGCAATCTTTAACAAAGTCTTCTGCCGACTGCTTCCTTTATACAGGTGTTTCTTCACCAAGCTTTGTTCTCCCCACTCAACTGTTGACAAATGGAGTGGAAAAGAATTCTACCATAACATTTTCTTAAATTCTCTAGTAAGTGGGGCTAGTTGCTGACGAAAGTTTTGTTAGATATTTACAATAAGCTTTCTCAAGAGGAAAGGAGAGGTAGACAGAAGAAGCCACGTGGTTGAATGGTATAAAATATAGGGCTCACTAGCCTCCCCTACAACATGACCTTTGGAGAAACAGAATAGTTTTCAAAAGGTCGTTCGTTTCATAGTTCTGTGAAAGTGGCGTAACAGTAAGCGACTACACATTAATTAGATACAAGCCACGTTTCAACTATGTCGCTTAATGTAAAGTTATCGATAACCGGGTGAACTATGCCAACTCATTCTAGAGTGAAGAATACTTGATATTAAAATAAGTGTCATTACGAAACTCGAATACAATAACACTATCATTTTATAACGAAAACAACAAAACATGTCCATGATATCTCATAGTGGCATAGAGTAGGTCATTTCTCATAGCAAAAAAATATAATATGTGGTATGATGAGAAATGGGTTTATATCAACATGTGCAGTGTATACTGGTAGTGTGAATGTATCAACACGGCTGTGAAAAGGGGTAAGACAGATACTAGTTAATATTAACACTTGTGGTGTACATTAGGTATGATAGGTGTATCAACATGACTGAAAGAAAGTGTAAGACAGACACTAGTTAATATTAACACTTGTGGTGTACATTAGGTATGATAGGTGTATCAACACGACTGTGAAAAGGGGTGAGACAGATACTAGTTAATATTAACACTTGTGGTGTACGTTAGGTATGATGGATGTATCAACACGACTGAAAGAAAGTGTAAGACAGATACTAGTTAATATTAACACTTGTGGTGTACATTAGGTATGATAGGTGTATCAACACGACTGTGAAAAGGGGTGAGACAGATACTAGTTAATATTAACACTTGTGGTGTACGTTAGGTATGATGGATGTATCAACACGACTGTGAAAAGGGGTGAGACAGATACTAGTTAATATCAACACTTG